ATGTTACTCATCTTTTTATTTTTAAAAACTTTAAATTCTTATACACTTCAATACATTAAATTATCAATACACACTCCAAAAATAGAAAAAGGTAAATAAAAACAATTAAATTTTAAATACATTTTAAACTTAATTAGTTAAAAAATGATGAATATATAATTAATGATTAGGCAACTTATTTTAACTTTTAAACTTGATAATAATACTTTTATTAGTTTATATCATAATTGAAATGGGTCTATAACTACCTTCTCCAATATTTTAAAATTAAAATGGTAAAAATAAAATATTGAATTTAATTAAATAAAAATAGAGTTTTTTAGTAGAATAACTGTAAAAGTTTATTTCTAAAAAAACTGTAAAATTTAAATAATGTTATTTAAGAAATATATTTTAATTATTCTAACATATCTAAGTTTTTTTAATTAAATTAGTAAAATGGTAAAAATAAAATAGGTATTGATGAACCAAATCTGCAAGTGCACAGAGCTAGTTGAACTAATAAATCCCAGAGTATTCCATGTGCCGAACCAACAAGGAACAAGAAATTTCTATCGTAATTAATTCTATCAAGGAAGGAAATTTGAGAGTGATCAAAGCAATTTAAATTAAAAACACTTAAATTATAAAAGCAAAGAATTAAATAAAGATGTGAAGACAATAATTAAAAGGCTTCAGGTTTCACCTAATTGACAAATCAATAATTAACCTATGAGTTGAATTGATGCAAAGTTGAAATAGGATTACTCTAATTTACCTATGCGCTCCGTCAAGTCTCCACAGGAATACCTAATAGATCAAATTTACTATCTGTCGATGTAAACCTAATTAACTAGATTCTTTAAGAACAAGTCTATCAAATTAGCCTAAGATTCATGTCTGATCCAGTCTAACATATTTGTTTTCCTAGTGCACAGATTATGCTTCACCCGTCAGTACATCACACAATCCCTAAGATAAACTATATGATGGCGAGACATATAATTTGTATAACAAGAAAAACAAATCCAACTTGAAAAGATCAATTCAAAACATAAAATTAAATATTAATCCCCAATTGGCTATACCCTAACCCTAATTAGGGATTTAACTACTCATGCTCATGAAAATAAAAACATAAATTATTATTGAAATAAAATAAAGAAAGATCATGAAAAGGAAGAAAAACTCCCTTAAGATGTCTTCAAGAAAGTAGAAGAGAATTCAGTATTTCTCCGTCTAACTAAAATTGAGTACAAGGCCTCCCTTTATATAGGGGCTCAAACCTAATTCATAAGTAACTAGGAAAAATAAATAATTAATAATTAATAAAAAAGTCTAAAATCCTAATAAAAATAGAAAACATGGTATTTGACTTGGTCAAGCCCATTAGGATTGATATTGGAGAGATAATGGCACTAAAACACCTAGGAAATCAAAATTTGGAATTTCCTTTAAGTGCTGTACGGACGGTGTCCATATAGTGTCTGTACGATGGCTTTAAGGGCAATTTCGTCCATCCAAATGAAGTTTTCAGCTCTCGACTTCTTCACGAAAGTAGTAGATCTTCGAGTCAGATTTCCAATGGTGCTTGAATCGCCTTAATCCAACATCTGGATCAAAAGTTATGAATTTTCTCCCAAAATCACTCCAAAATTAACCTACAAGCTTAAAAACACAAATGTGAAAATTTATCATAAAAACCAATAGAAAGTGCAAGATTAATACTCAAAATATATTGTAAATGAGCTCTAAATAGTGTAAATTATTGCACTTATCAGGTATAAAGATATTAGATTTAATTAAATAAAAATAGAGTTTTTAGTTGAGTAAAATTATAAAAGTTTAAACAATGGCATTTAAGAAATATATTCGAAAAATAAGGGTATAGTGGGCGATTCAAAAGTTTTACAAGAATTTGTACTTTTTAATATAGTATAGACTAGACATTTTGCCCCATTTTCCTTTTTTTTTTGGAACACTTTGCACCCTTAGCTTTCAAATTTGGGGCATTTGCCCCAAAATGGATGGAAGCCTTAACGACTCCCTTAAATTGCTGACGTGGGATTGCCACCTCAGCCTCACGTGGGAACTACACATGAAATAAAAAAATAGATTTTTTTTAAAAAATAAAATTCATATGTGACTAAGAAAATTCAATTTTTTCTATTTTCCTTCTTTTTAAATATTTTTTTCTCATGTTGTCGGTCCCCCATGAGGCTGACATGTCAGCAATATAACCGTTACTAATTTTCGTCCATTTGGAGCAAATTGTCTCAAATTTGAAAGTTAAGTGGGTAAAATGTCCTAAAAAAAAAGATAAAGGGCAAAGTGTACTTTCTTGAAAAGGTAAGAGGGTAAAAGGATATTTAAGCCTTAAGTCAATCAACCTCAAGGTTGATGTCCGACAAAAAAAAAGAAAAAGAACTTCAAGGTTAATGGTATTAGTGGAAGAGATAATATGCTTGACAAAGTAAGATTATGATGAATTTTTATTTTGTAGGCACGAAGTGACAACTATGCATAGTACGAAGCAAAAAACTCATTAATCATTTGTTTAACATTTCTTCATGTCGAACCTAAGAGAAGAATTAAAGATGTTTAGGAGTTCAACTTCAACTTCAAAGTTTGTCGTAGTATTTTTTTGGTTAAAAGTTCAAATAGGGCCTGACCTTTAGGGAAAAGGTCATTTAAGGGCTTAAACTTTAGAAAAGGTTAAATAAGTGTCCAACCTTTTCATTTGGGTCAAATAAGGACATTTCCATGAAATTTGTGAACATTTTCAACAAATCAGGATAATGGAATATTTATATATATAACCTAGAGAGAAGCACATTTCTATGAAATTTGTGGATATATATAAACTAGAGAGAAGCACATCCCATTATCCACAAATTTCATGGAAACGTCCTTATTTGACTCAAATCTAAAAGGTTGGGCACTTATTTGACCTTTTCTAAAGTTTAGGCCCTTAAATGACTTTTTCCCTAAAGATCAGACCCCTATTTGAACTTTTAGTCTACTTTTTTTCTTCTTTTCAGCTTTCTTGATAGAATCCAAGAAGTTTGTGATGAACTTGTAAATAAATATTTTGGCTTATGTACAAAACAAGCCCTTGAATGTAGTTTAATTACCACCAAATGCCCCAAAACTTTTTTTTTTAATTTTAATCAACTAAGCCATAAAAATTGATTTTTCACCCAAGTAGGCTATCAAAATGAGAATATGGCCTCGTATTTCGAGGTGTACATCGGGTGTGGCCGGCCATGGGTACCAATATTGATATGTGTGAAGACTCTTTTTACATTAACATATTAAATAAATAAATAAAGTGGTAATTAGCGGCTTATTCCAGTTTAAATAGGTCTCAGGTCTGAGATTTTACGTATGCAGTCGTCCTCATTGGTAGACTCACCCACCAAACTCAAATGCGCGATCCATGTCGAATCTGAATTAGTCAGAGTAAAACTCTAAATACCGGATGAGAAACAAAAAAAAAAGGAGAAGGCCCAGCCCAAATGAAGAGTCGAATTGCCCATTTACTTTCCTCCAAATTCCCGTAAAATAAAATAAGGGAAAGAAGAAAGCTCGCGAAATTCTGGGAAAGTTAAGTTCAAGCCACATAGTATGCAAACATGATATTCTTTTGTTGTATCTGATATTCTTTTGTTGTATTTGTTTGGCCCGACTGTAACTTTTTAAATAAAAAAAGTGTTTTTTTAGTAGAACTGATATAAAAACGTTGTACAAAGAAGTTAAAATAGTGTTTGGTAAACATAATTGAAATGCACTATAAGATGTAGAAAGTTGTTTGACAATAATATTATAAAGTATTGTGAAAAATAAAAGTATGAAAAAAAATTAAAAATATATGTACGCTTGAATAAAATATATTTACAAATATTTTTTGTTACAATATATTTGCATATATTCAATAGTATTGTAAATTTATTAAATGTCAAAAATTATATATGTAAATAAATTTTATTAATATAATTTATTTAATAATTAATTATAATCATAATAAATAGTATAATACATAAGGTATGAAATAATTATTCTATAAATTCATAGATTAATAACAATTCATATTATATTTTGTAAATGTATAAGGTTCCAATAAATTAGTATCATATATATAATTTATTAAAATATAAATTATGAGATAATTAATAAGGATTGATATAATAAAATTACATATTAAATAATAATATAATAAACTAAAATTTAATTAAAAAAATAATTCACTAATTTGAAAAAATAGCATAAATAAAGCATGTATGTGATGATAAAATTAAAAAAGGTAAATAATACTCACCCACGTAAATAATAAAAAAATTGCTACGAAGGTTTTTTTTTGACTAGGGTGGAGGTTGCAGAAAGGAAAAAAAAAGATTGCATTATCTATACTATATTAAAAAGTACGTTCATCACTCATAATTAATTGTTGATTTCTTGCTTGTTTTCACTTAAAAAAAGAATTTACATCCAATTTGATGGCCAAAAAAGAAATTTACCATGCTTTTACTTTGGTAAAGTAAAAAGAATTAGGTAATGCTTTTTGTGAAGCTTAAGGTACACAGTATTACTTGAAGATAAACTCAAGTTTAAGTTATCCATGTTACATATGGATATTTCTCTCTCTGAGTTTCTTCTTCTCCAGGGACTCTTGGTGGAGGTTCCTATCTGTCCTAGTGCAGCTTTTTGCCTTGTGAAATCTTTAGATTTGCGAAGGATTTTTGTAATTCGATCTTATCAGATAACCAGGGCAAATCAATATTTGTTTTTCGAATTTCCATTTAAGATTTCTTTACCAAGATATTATTGTGTTTCTATTTCAAATTCAAAAATGAGTTTGTTGCTTTCGTTTAGCCACAGGACTTTTTTTCCCTTGGATATCTTTCTGGTTCTGGTGGTTAAATCTTTGGTGGAATTATTGTTTGAGTAGTATTGTTCTCTTCTCTTCTTCTTCCACTTTTTCTTTCCACATCAAAGTTTTCTTGTTGTTTTTGTTGTTATCAATGGCTGATGAACAATTATCCAGTTTTTGTTCTAAACTTTCCATCAATGAAGGAGAACAATCGAAGGTGGTTATTACTCAGGAGTGGTTGGAGGAAGGTGATGAAGGGGCACTGGTGTTTTTCTTGATCAGGAAGTTGTTCTCTAAGCGACCAGCAAATGTTGAAGGTATGAGAACAGCGCTCTTTAATGCTTGGGGTTTGGAATCGGGCTTGGTGATCAAGGAAGTTGCTGAAAAGGTGTATCTCTTCAATTCTGAGGAGGAGTCCGATAGAGATCGAGTGCTGGTGAATCAACCTTGGCATTTTAACAAGTTTTTACTTGCTTTGAAACAATATGATGGCGTTGAGAAGCCGGAACACGTTGTCTTTGATACGTGTCCTTTTTAGGTGAGGATTTATGAGTTGCTTCCGATCATGATGACGGAGAAGATAGGTGCTGCGGTTGCTGGAAAGGCTGGCAAAGTGATGGAAATTGACCACCAGTGGGGTAAATTCTTACGGGTTCGTGTGTTGGTGGACTTGATAAAGCTGGTGATAGACAAGACAACTGTTACATCACCTTATGGCGAGATTGAGGCGGAATTTTGTTATGAGGACATGCCAGATTTCTGTTATATCTGTGGTATGTTTGATCATGTTTAGGAGAATGATTGCCAGCTTGCGGTGGATATGAGGACGAAGCAAGGTTTTGTCACCAGGAGGTTTTCACCGAATATCAGGGCAAGATCGCCTCGGCCAAAATCGAACAGGTTTGATGTTGCTGAAAGTAGTTTTAAATCAGGAGGGTCTTCCTCCAGGAGGTCTAGTCCGTTATCTGTGACTTCTGGTACGAGAGGTGCCAGAGGTGGCGGCGGCGGCTCGGCACAGTTATCTTTTTCGGCAATAAATAGCAGAGGGCATGTCCGGCGTCACGTAGATAGTATGTTACTCCGGGGAAGGCCGGTTGCTCGAGCAATTTTCCCAGAGGAAACTTCTTGCAAAATTCTATCCCGAAATCCAGGGGTGGTTCCACCAAACATGGGAGGTGGTAATTCGGTTAATGGTGGACCGAGAGTTGTGGGGGGATCAACAGGGGTAGTTGCGAGGAGTGAGGCGGAAGGATCGTGGTTTGAGGAGGAGATTCGGGAATTGTATGGTGATTTGGGATTACCGAATTCTATGGGAATGGTTAATCCAAATGGAGAGGTTCAAGGATCGGTTGGAGTTTTTAAAGGGAAAGGAAAACAAATTCAGGCCGAGTTACAAGGAGATAGTTCCACTGATTCCTCGGCTCCATTAATTAATGGAGTTACACGTGGTCAACAACAAACTCTGCATTATGGAGTTTTAGGTGGGCAACCATTTGGGGAATCTGTTTCAACCCCTTCAATTCCGGGATTGAGTGGGAGAGGAGTGATTAATGGGCATGTTGAAGGTGCAATAAGATCCGATTTACGTGGGTGTGATCCAGGGACTTTGAGGGCCAGTTTGGGACCGGATTTGATGGGTTTATTAAGCAATTTGGTGGCGGGATTGAACCAAAAATCGAGCACAAATGGCCAAGGTGATTCGGCAGGATCGAGGATAGGGGGTACGAGCAAGGTGCTTCCTTTGTTTTTGGTGCAGGTGCAGGCGAATCTTCGAGGCCAAAGCAGACAAGGAGGTGGAAGAAGCATGCTCGTGTGTCAGATAGATACACCTTTGATGCCATGACCCGTCATATAGTTTCAAAAGTGGGAAATAAGCGTCTGCCAGGCTTTACTATTTGTGATGTAGATCACGGCACTGCGGCAAAGAGATCGAGGGAGGAAGAGCCAGGTCTGGATGATCATGGTGCTGCAGCAAACAATCCAAGGAGGCAGGACAATGATCCAGGGGTTGATCCACAGGTACCAGCTGGAGCGGATAATGATGATGTTGGGGAGGCAAGGACGACCTTAGATCGTCCTTGCCAGGAACCATGAGTTGTTTAGCTTGGAATTGTCGGGGATTGGGGGCATCTAGGGCAATTCATGTTTTATCTCAATTAATAAAATGTAATAAGCCCTCCATTTTGTTTTTGTCAAAAATTAAACGAACTAGTAATGAAATGGAATGGATACGGTGTCGTTTGGGTTATGACTGCTGTTTTACAGTTAATTGTATAGGTAGAGCTGGGGGTCTTGCATTGCTTTGGCAAGATCCGTCTTTGATTAATATTGTTTCGTTTTCTTCATCTCATATTGATGCTAATGTTCGTAGTTCCACAAATAGAGAATGGCAGTTAACAGTTTTTTATGGTCGTCCTGAAACAAGTAGGCGACATGAATCCTGGGATTTACTTAGACAACTTTCAGAACAATCTACATTACCATGGATGTGTGTGGGTGACTTATGAAATACTCACCAATGATGAGAAGATTGGAGGACCACCGCGGTCTCAGCGGCAAATGGAGATGTTTCGGGCTACGGTTGAATTTTGTGAATTTAGAGATCTGCCTATAAAGGGTCCTTTGATGACTTGGTCAAGGCGTATGCAAGGAGATGTCGTTTTTGAGAGACTCGATAAATGTTTTGTAATGGAGGAATGGTTGAATTTGTTTCAGTTTTCGTTTGTTCATGTACTTATGTCCTCGGAGTTTGACCATTTGCCTCTTCATATCGAAGTTTTGGATAAGCCTTGGGTCGGGATACATTACAACCATAGATTTCGTTTTGAGCGCATGTGGTTAACTCATGATGGAGTCCAAACAGTCATTAATGACAGTTGGAATGTTCGGCAGGAGATGTCTATACAACAAGGCATTGCTAGTTGTGCCCAATCTTTGCAGCATTGGGACAAGACAGTGTTTGGTAATGTGCGTTATTCGATCAGGAAAAAGAAAAGGGATCTGGAAAGATACTATAAGGAAGCACAAAAGGATGGTTTATCTGGGAATTTAAATGATTGTTTGAATGATCTTTATGAACTTTATGATCGAGAGGAATCAATGTGGCGGCAGAGATCAAAGGTATCCTGGCTTCGATAGGTTGATAGGAATTCGAGATTTTTCCATTCCATCGTCAACTCAAGAAAGAATCGGACTACTATATCATCGATTCAGGACGCGAATGGAGAGTGGCAAACGGATTTGGCTTCTGTGGAGCATGTAGTATGTTCGTATTTCAATGATATTTTTACCTCCAGTAAACCGCTGCATTCGGATGTTGAGCAAATGCTTGGAGTTGTTGAGAGATGAGTTACGGCTGATATGAACGCTCAGTTGGTTCGTGAGTTTACAATGGAGGAGATTCGAGTAGCTGCTTTTGACATGGGAGCGGATAAATCACCCGGACCAGATGGTATGCCTCCATTATTCTATCAGAAGTACTGGCATGTTGTCGGGGCAAAGGTAAGTGAGATGGCATTGGCATTTTTGAATTCAGGAGTCTCTTTGCCCGATGTTAATCAGACAGTTGTGGTACTTCTTCCGAAAATAGATCATTCTAGCTCGGTTAGGGACTAGCGTCTTATTAGCCTATGGAATGTTATTTTTAAGATTGTGTCAAAAACTCTGGCTAACCGACTTCGTGAAGTGTTGCCGTTCATTATCGGTCCTAACCAAAGTGCATTTGTGCTGGGGAAAATGATCTTCGATAGTTCAATCATTGCTTTCGAATCAATTCATTATATGAAGAATAAAAGGAGTGGTGGAGAGAAGCATATGGTGCTTAAGTTAGATCTAAGTAAAGCATATGATCGAGTTGAATGGGTTTTTCTTGAACGGATTATGGCTCGATTAGGATTTTCTAATCGATGGGTTTTTGTTTTTCTGGTTATGGAGTGTGTAAGAACTGTTATGTATTCCATTCTTGTTAATGGTAGGCGAACATAATCTTTTGTACCCTCGAGAGGAATCCGACAGGGGATCTATTATCTCCATATCTCTTTCTGTTTTGCATGGAAGGCTTGTCTTGTTTACTACAACGAGCAGAGTTGAATGATAGTATCCACGGAGTAGCAGTGAGCAGGTATGCTCCACGCATTTCGCATTTATTTTTTGCAGACGATAGTCTTCTCTTTTTACGTGCGAGTTTGGAGGAGTGTGATGTGGTGCTGGATTTATTGCGCCAATTTGAGTTAGCATCTGGGCAGCAGGTAAATATAGATAAGTCAGCGGTGATGTTCAGTGGTAACACGCCAGTTGATTTACGAGAGATTATTATGCGTCATTTGAGGATTCAAAAAGTATTAGATCAAGACCGATACTTGGGTTTACCAATTATGATTGGAAGATCCAAAAGAGTGGAGTTACATCTTATAAAGGATAGATTATGGAAGCGGCTTCGGAGCTGGAGTGGCAAGCTGTTGTCTATTGCGGGTAAGGCGGTAATGATACAGTCCATAGCCCAGGTGATTCCGACGTATTTGATGAGTTGTTTTCGGTTTCCGAAAACTTTTCTCCATGAGCTAAATATGCTTATTGCTAAGTTTTGGTGGGGGAGTACGGATTCCAGAAAGAAGATTTATTGGAAGGCTTGAGATTCTTTATGCACTTCAAAGTTGGATGGAGGTTTGGGATTCCGGGATTTTGAATCTTTCAATATGGCTTTACTTGCGAAGTAGTATTGGCGTCTTATTCAGGATGGTAATTCGCTTTGTTGTCAGGTTCTGAAAGCGAAGTATTTTTATCGAAGTTCTTTTATGCAGGCTACTTTGGGGTAATCCATCTTTTGTCTGGAGAAGTATGTTAGCTGGTAGATAAGTTATCAGATTCGGATCCAGGTGGAGGATTGGAAATGGCCAAACTGTGGATATTTGGAGGGATAGATGGTTGGCAAAGCCGCCGTCTTACCAACCAGCGCCTCGTCCTGGGACAGTTTTGCAGAATAATCTTGTCTCATCCCTATTTAATAATGATGGGTATTGGGATGACGATTTATTATCTAAGTTGTTTGAGGATGAGGATGTGTATAGAATTTTATGTATACCATTGCATTTGTCTTCTGCGGATAGGTTGATTTGGAACCATTCGGTAGATGGTCATTATACGATCCGGAGTGGTTACCATGTTGCGCGAAGGATTTTAGGTAAAGAGGTTGCAGAGGTGGGAGCAAGGTCAGTAATGTGGCGGTTAATCTGGGGTGCCAATGTGGTTCCAAAAGTGAAGTTTTTTATGTGGCGTCTTATTCATGGTATTTTGCCGACCAAATCGCAATTGCAGTCACGAGGAATACCAATCGACCAGAGTTGCCTTGTTTGTGGAGGGGTGGAATATAATCTCTACCATGTATTTTTTGACTGTGTCTTTAGTAAGACAGTATGGGATATTATTAGTCCATGGCTTCCTGTGTCTATTGTTAATTGGGTGGATAGGGAGGACTTTTGGGATTGTTTGTTGTCTAAAGCAAGTCAGCTGGGATCTTTGGATGTTGTGTGTATGGTTTTGTGGATGATTTGGTCAAATCGGAATAAAGCATTGTATGAGCAAGTATGTAAGCTTCCTCAGTCGCTTTGTTTAGCGGTAAACAGGTTTATGTTCGACTTTGATGCGTCTAATAGGCGAGCAATTGGGAGGCCAATTCAAGAGCAGCGGGTATGGCAGCCACCAGCTACGGGACTAGTCAAGATTAATGCGGATGCAACATTTTACCAAGCGGATGGTGTAGCGGTATTAGGTGCAGTGATTCGAGACCATACAGGACGAGTTCTGCTATCTGGTATACGCGATATACCAAGTGTCCACTTGATGAAGGGTCACAAGTGTCCTCTTTGCGGAAGTATACGCGATTCGTTTTGGTTTGGTTTTGGTTTATTCTTTTGGTTATACAAGTTGTGAGGTTGAAAGTGATTGCAGCTTAGCGATTTTAGAAATAAATAAGAGAAACTTATCCTTATGGGAGGGAGGGTCTCTGATTAGTCAGATTAGATTACTTGTTTCTTATTTTTCTTACTATTCTTTTAAGCATGTTAATAGGGTTGCTAATCGTTTAGCACATAGTTTGGCTCATTTGGATTGTAATGTAGGAGCTAATTATATTTGGTGCGGATTACCTCTGGCCGTTTGTAACCTTGACAATTAATATCAATGAAAGATGAATTTTTCTCTAAAAAAAAAGTACGTTCACTTGTAAAACTTTTGAATTGCCTTTTATGCCCTTATTTGTCAAATATATTTCTATTTTGCCATTCTACAAAATATTATTAGATTATATATATATATATATTGTTTATATAATTATATCTTTATTATTAATAAAATTTAATTTGTGAAATTGAGTCTGATTTCGGCTGCCTTAGGATTGAGTTTCATTTTTAAGTGATCTCTTTTCCTTTGTACAGTAATTGATATACATTTTTAAGTGAACTCTTTTCCTTTGTACAGTTTTTGATAGTGATTGTATTTCTGGTTTTGTATATTAATAATACAACCTCTTGGATCGGGAAAAAAAAGAATTTGGATTCAATATTTTCTTTTCAAAGCTAAATACTACTCTTGAAATTGAGGCTTATTTCGACTCCCTTAGGATAGAGTTTCATTTTTAAGTGATCTCTTTTCCTCTGAATAGTATTTGATTCTATTTGCACTATGTTCATAAGACAGTTTTGTAAACTGATAATGGCATAGGAGAAAAGAATCGAATTGAAAGGAATAAAATAGAATCAGGGGATGGTTGAACCGCTATCGGCTCAACTCTTACAGAGTCTTGGAGGCGAGGAAACTACTTTTCTTTTGGGCAGCCTGCGGGAAAACGAGCAAAGGCAACTTCCAAGTCAGCGGGTATACTAGCCTGACAGCCCGACCGACCTCACTCAGGAATAGAAACTCGAAATTGTGACCCATCGTGTTGATAATGGCATAAATCTATAGCCCAAAACCCTAAACACTCACTCATACTTAATTAGTAGGCTTTTCAAGTTTAGTTTATTAATTGTTTTTCTAATTTTTATATCCTCTTCATTTATTGCGCATATTTTTTCTTAGCCTGAACCTGCTCAGGAGGTATTGTTGTTGCCCTTGCAGCCTACATTTCTTATACTGTCTTCCTGTTCTCTTCCTTAGAACTGCATCTCTCTCTTTGTGTATAGTTTGGGGATTTCTTAAACTATTCCTCTTCTCAGGGCTTTCGATTCTTAACATGTATCTCCCTCACCTGGAATCTATACACACACACACACACACACACACACATATATATATATATTATTGCTGAGTGTTTCTTAATCAGTTTGAAAGATGCTCTGTTCTTCTGAAGTTGTTGTTTTCTATGTGTGTGTATATATATGCCATTGATGTTTGAGAACCTTCACCTTTGCCTTCCTCTTGAGATTTTTCCACAGCCTGAAGCTTCCCAAGAGCCTAAAGTTTCTGATGAGGTTCATATATCCTTTTAAATAGTTCATCCCCTTCACATCCCATGTTTGTTTTTGTTTATATAACATTCATCTTTGGTAATCTTTCTCCTTTGTATTGTACTGCATCTCAGACTTTGTCTCAACTGATCAAGGACCGACCAGCTTCTCTTTTGTTCTTTTCCTTTATCACCTACGTTGGTTATTGATTGGAACTTGGAAGCCATAAGAGAGAGCGATGTTCCGTATGCTGTCAAATTCTTATCACACCCCCAAGGTATGGGTACGCTCTTATCCATAAACAGGAGGAATAGAGTAGGAAATACATGAAGCTTTCCATTGTGTGTGCTTATACAAACATAATTGTTTTGCTTTAGTTGATCATCTTCATATTTTAGTACTTTTGATATGGTTTTATGATACCATATAATTTCTCTTTTAAACTCGACAATAAGTATAGATTAAGAATGAGCTTTGTTGACAAATGAAAGAGAGCTTTGTTGGGGCCTTTTGCCTTTTGCCTCTTTCCTTATTCCTGATTTTATAACTTCTTTTGTGGAAATGAGCTCATTTGAAGAGTACAATTTTTTTTAGCACATGGAGCATTTAGTTATGTTTTTATCTTTATAAATTTTTGAAAATTAATGTTATTCGTAGCTAAGCAAGTGCAAGCTTTCTTATTGTCATTTAGCTATATGAACCAAATAAAATAAGTTTCTAATTCTTACAATCCTTTCATTTTTTCTTTCCATCTTTATAATTTTCTGTTACGCGAGTATATATATCAATTTAATAGAGCAAAGCACGTACGAGTTTGTTTTGGTGCAAGAAGTCATGGCAGGAATTGAGGTGAGAGCAGCACATAATATGTTGGACGCATGTCCTCAAACAGATACAATGGCTCTGATTTGTAGTTTCAAAGTCAACAAATCAATTTTTCATATACTAGAGAATATTATTGTTATTTAAGCACTAAGAAATTGAGCTTGGGTAGCATCTGCCATATATATATATATATAATGTGGTTTCTTAATCCTTGATTTTAATTTTTGTTTTCGGCAGTATGGCATGTATTATCAAAGGACCATGTTCATTTTCACCAAAAAATAAAAGGACCATGTTAATTAAGGGGAAAAGGAGAATGAAGATGATACATTACTAGATAAATTACTAAATGAAATGGAGAAGTTCACTAATGCTATGGAATGTGAGATGAAAAAAGAAAAAGTTCTTGCAAAATTAAGTCTGTATATATATTTTTGTGTGTATAACTCTATATATTTTGAGCTAAATGTATGGTGTAGCTATAATATTAAACACAACAACCTAATATGTAAATTATGAAGCTTTTCTTTTGTTTGTTCTTATGTTATTATTATTAATACGTATAACTCTATATATTTTGAGCTACATGTATGGTGTAGCTATAATATTAAACATAACAACCTAATATGTAAATTATGAAGCTTTTCTTTTGTTTGTTCTTATGTTATTATTATTAATACTTCTAATTAGATATGATACATGTTAAACTTTTATCAAATGACATACAAACAAAGAACATTATTTGATACATGTAAACTTTAAAAATTAGACGACTATCCGCGAAGCGAGCACTTAGAAAACTTAGAATATAACAATGTCATATGTAGGTCAGCGTGAGGATGGTTAAAAATTTACGAATACAAAAACATTTACAAATACAAATTACATTAATTTGTTTCAATGTATTTTGATAATATACTAAGCTTTCACTTCTAATTAATATTCATTATTATTTAATTTTTTTTGTATTTCTTATTATCTTCAAGTATTTTAAAAAATAATTTATTCAAACGCGTTGTGCCACATGCAACGCACATGAAGGTGATAACTAGTAGTATGAAAAGTATATATAAAAAAAAAATCATTGACCGAACAAAAAAGTCTATCCGCATAAGCCAAGACTAGAGGAGCTTTTTGGGAACGCTACAAATTGTACCTTGGCTGGTAAGCTTCCCTGATAAGCTGAAAATTCAAGAAACTAACTAGCCAAACACTCAACTTGGGCTTATTTCTAGAGTAGAGAAGTAGTTCTAAAAGCTGGGCCAAACACCAAATATAGGAACACAAGAAGAAAAAAAGAAAATGAACATCTTCAGCAGATTAATCTCTTGACGTTTCATCAAATTTATTCTTCCTTCTTTTTCCCCTGAGATTCTGTTTTAATTAAATTATATCTTCAGGTTTGGAATCATCAAAATTGGCGATTCTTTTTTTAGTCTTTTAGGTTATAATAATTTGCATGGACTTGCTAGAGTTTAAGGATCATGGTTTCTTAGTTAGGTCGTTGACATATATTTTACCAAAATTTTTTACTTTTTTGATATTACATTATTGCAGAGGCCCTTTGTGAGGGCAAGAGAAAAATGGCGCATGCTACTAGAGGTAAACACTAAATACTCTGTTATTCTCTTACAAATTGGCCATTGAATTCAGTGATTGATCATAGTTTTTGGACCAGTTGATACAAAGCTTGATTTTTTTTTAAAAAATTATTATTGCATTATTATTACTTTGTATTTTTGGTGTTAGAGCATTACTTTGATCTAAATTTGGATGCTTTTTTCATATTGGTTCAGGTATAGAGAAGGAAATAGGAACTCTTCAATTAGGTTATGTTTGGTTTGTGATATCTTAGATATCACGTGGTCATGTCATTCACAGTACCTCTTTCCTAGAAATGTTATTTTAGTGGAAAAGTATAATTTTTTGGTTTTGTGGGAATAAGATTATCATGTTTGATTAACGTGAGAAAACTATTAAAATTTGAGAATATAAGCGAAAGACAAGGCAAAAAGAGTAACACTTTCCTAGGAAAGTTAATTTTTCCACCCTTTTAGACTGGAATGACACTCCCATCACTTTCTCACTTGAGTGGTAAAGTGGTGGGAATGACATTCCCACCTAAAATTAGATTTCTCCAACCAAACATGGGAAAGTTATTTTCCCTATCTAACTTATCACATTTTCCCACTACTTTCCACGAACTAAACGTAACCTTAGAGGTATATCCTAGTATCAACAAGTTTTTTCATCTTTCTCAGAATTTTTGGAGCTGATTCTAATGTGATTTATCGTAATGGCAGGAAAGAAACTTGTTGCTGAGATCAAAAGATCTGCTAAAACTGGAAATGAGGTATCTTTTGAATAATTTCATTGCATTTATGTATACTTTTAGGGACTCGAGCGTTAACTTCATCTACCTTGAGGTCTTAAAATCGTTTGATATCTTCTTATCTTAACCTGGTGTAGGCAATAACTAAAACTCTTGCCCAGCAGCTAGTCAGGCTTAGGCAGCAGATAGCCAAGTTACAAAGTAGTCGAGCTCAAATGAGAGGCATTGAATCTCATACACAGGTGAACACCCCATCTTCCATAGCTTGCACTTTGCTCTTTCGTGTATGTTTTGGCTTTTACTGGTGTCACATTATGCTTCTAGTAATGCATGTTTCTATTTTATAGGCAATGCATGCTCAATCTTATGTTGATGTTGGCATTAAAGGTGCCACTAAGGCAATGTCAGCTATGAATAAGGTCAGCAAGAATGTTATGATATACATGTTAATTTTATTCGTACATACATGATGATGTAGATAAAATATACTTTTCCTCAGTAGCTATAAGTTACTGAATAACACCTCTGCTTTAAATCGGTATCTATCTCCTAGATAGACCACTTGACACCCAATTTTCCAATTATTCTATCCTTACAAAATAATTTTGATTGTAAATAACTAATGATGGGGAATTCCTTGCAGCAAATGGCCTCTGCAAAACAAGCAAAGGTTAGAAAGGAAATTCAAAAGCAGTTGGCTCAGATGGATATGACCGTAAGATCATACTTGATTTTAGAATATATTAATGTGGATAAAAGTTGATCACCTTTGAGTCTTTAGTTCATATTCATTAACTGTCTAGCATTCATGCTTGCAGACTGAAATGATGTCGGATGCCATAAATGGTGCCTTGGATGATGACAAAGCTAAAGACGAAACTGAGGATCTAACAAATCAGGTGTGCGATTCATTCCCTTACCTTTTAATTTTCTTTTTCTTTTTCTTTTTTCTTTTGTTGGGTTAAAAATAAGGTTGGTTGGGGGCTTGGGTCAGTGTGTACAACTGAAATGTTGGCAACTTAATGGCTTTGGGTGCTTCTGTGGTGTTTAGAGAAGCTTTCTTTTGTGCAATGATAAGTTATTATAACATGGTTTCACTGTTGTACCCCCAAACACAACATGATAGTAACTCCTTTGATTTTTCCTTTCTTCAGGTTCTAGATCAAATGGTGTCGATGTTGCCTCACAGGTGGGTGTTTGGTGTTTTTCCTTTCAGTTTGAGATTTCTTATAAGCCAATATTAAATATTTTGTGATTGTCTGATTCTTCCTTCTTTTTTTTTCAGTTGTCATCAGCTCATAAAGGTAGGATTGCTGGAAAGAATGCTGAAGGTGTTGGTAGGTACGCTTTTCTTCTCCCCTATTGTTCTCTATTGGGAAACTTTTACTGTTGAATGGAACCAATGTATACGAGAGGGGTAGCCCACGCTTGTGCTGTGAGCGTGTTTTTATGTATTATATTATATTTTGTCCGGTTAGGAAAAAGTAAGGTAACAATAAAAAGAAAAATCAGATTCCGTAGGAATTTAGAAATCAGAAAGAGTTGTATATGAGAAACTATAAATATTGTCTCTATTTAAAAACTTAATACACACTTTGAAGAATAAAGAAGTGTAAATTTATAAATTAAACTTGCAGGGATCTTTTTGTTCGAGTTGCTATTGTTAAATTTATTCAACCCGTCTTTGGAAATATTTCTGCATTTATATAAACAGGAATACTGCAAACATATAATTATATAAAAAAAACAATACTGCAAATATAGATGGAACACACAAAATGATGCCTCTCATGAATTCATTTACCAACAATAATTCTGCAGTTTCTTACAAAATAAAGATTTAAACATAAATACTTAAACATCTCCTTTAATTCAGAACTTAAGAAACCTAGACTTTGTTTTTTAAACATTTAAGAAACCTAAAAAAATAGATACTTAACAAAAAGTAAAATAAAAGCTAACATTTAAGCAGTTTTTAATGTGGGACAACCTTTTCTTTTTCTAAAGAAGCTAACAATCGAGCTTCCCAAGCTAAGAATCTAAAACTTGCCATGATTTCATCTCGGGTGTTTCTCTCGATGATGAAGAACATGTTTCACTCATTAGAAATCAATTATCCAAAATGACTTGCCCTTGCAGCAACATGTAGAGGTGCATCTTCATCTGAATTCTGCTTTGCCAAGAGAGATACACACTATGAAAAATCTCAGTAAAAAATATCTTATGTCAAAATTTCACAGCAATATGGAGTGTTGTGTTCTCTTGGGGAATCACCTTTAAAAGTACACCTTGGTTCTGATAAAGAAGATGTCTGAGGGAATCAACTTTGCCCGACTTGACAAATTGGCATAATTTTGGGGCAATTTCTGGTAAACATAAAACTTTCAACATTCTCAACTTTCTCTTTCACTCTTTTCTTGCAGGCGTCTTCGGCATGAAATAATCAGCCTTTACACCAAAAAATTAGTTTTGAATTTCAAATAGGAGCTCACAAAGTGCCATAGCCATGCTCAAAGTCCTTGAAAACCCATATAAAGAAAACACCAACAGTTCAACTAAAACCATATGATGCGAAAGTATCATAATGCATTTACAAACCAACACTTTAGCTAAAATCTTTTGAATAGCACTTTCCAATCCAATAGGATCAGTGCAATTCATTCTAATTTACAATTCTTGAAATGCATTTACATCTCGAGGACCTCCTTTCATCCTACATTGAAAATCAACTTATATATTACCTCAGCCGTCCAAAAGATTTAATTTCATCAGATTCATTTTGATATATACAAAAAATGCGAAATAAAATGACCAACATGCATAATTGCATAATACCTTTTCAACACATCCAATGGTAATGTAGCGACTGTTTTCATCTTCCTAATGAATCATCTCTATTGTCTTCTCAATAGCTCTCTGCCTAATCTTGTCAAAGGGCCAACGGTTAATCACTAGGTCTGAAATATAATAGAGACTATCCCAAAGCAATAGATGGGTATTGTATGGGGATAAAGCACATCTTCCTGCAATAATAGAACATATATGTTCACATCCCAAATGTGCAATTTCAAGGCAAAACAGAGGAATCATGTCAAATCAGTCCTAGTAATATTTACCTTGGCACATAAATGGCGTTTTGCACTCCAATTAATTTAATCATATGGTTCAATGTGAATTTCGTCTCTTATCTTTTGAATGAGAGGAGTGATTGGACCCACAAATTTTCTTCCGTAAAAATACGACATAGGCATGTAGGTGAGTCGACAGTAGCAGAACATTTTTGCTGCACTCATGTGATGATGATTCATTATTAGAATCGAAGAAACATATAGTATATATTTGTTTAATCACTCAAATTAATCTTGCTTGAACATTAATTACAAACCTGCATGAAGGGGAAACCAATCAGGAAAGAGCCAAAACTCATGGGGCATTGGGTGGCAGCCAGCCCATGCATAAACACCAAGTATCTACAAACCAAAACACAGTCATAAGAAATTTCCCTTTGTTTTTTTTTTCTTTTGGGTGCTAAAAATTGCAGATGAGATGAGATATATTTATGGAAACATACAGCCATCCATGTCTTGCCCCAAGAGGCAGAGGTAGTGATACTGCCATGATCAAGGATCCATTTCCGGGCTCTCTCGGTTGCATTATCAAGGCCACCATCGGGTTCCACTCCAAGCAAACGCATGCATATGTAGTTGAGAGATGTGCAGAACATCATACTATAAGCCTATGACCTCCAACGTATAATCCCCATCCACCATCCTCATTCTGCAATAAATATATAGTTCAGATTATTAATTATCATTTTTTGAACCCAAATTTACTTTTTCTTCATACAGTCTTACATGTAAAATATATAGTATATAAATATATACCTGATGATAGTAAATATAGCAAAGAATTTCTTTGCGATACTCTGTAGGGAATACAGTGTTAAGAGTCCCCGTTATGTACATAGTAAAGACCTGCATTTGCTCCAATGGAAATGAATTAGGAAATCAAAATTAATTAATTAAGGTCACGAAGTCCATTGTACTTAAAAATTAAGGGAATGAAGAACAAAATTAAAATTACCAAAGGAGGAAAATAGAACATGGGGCTAGCATTGATAGGAGGCCAATGGCCATCCTTTGATTGCAGAGCTCCAAATAAGTGAGCACTTGTCCTAACTGCTGCAGTTGTAGCTTCAAATGTGATTTCCTCTCCATCCTTAACTTTGGGTTGGGGAATTGTTGGCTTGAAGTTTTTCTCTCTTAGAAACTGCATTCATTAAATCATACATATATTAACCAAATACTATATAAACAGCATAAATACTGAAAAAATACTATCCCTACCAACTCATGGGATGAAAACATGGACCAAACCCCTATTTTTTGGCGTCCAAAAGATTGCAAATTCCATCCCTAATGAATATATAAAATTCCAAACTAAGACCAAAAGGAAGGAAAATTTAAAGAAAGGAATAGAATTTTGTTCATGATCCAACAGACCCTTAATTGATTCTACCCAATGATATATATATATTCACTATAGGAAAAGCAAAAAACAAAAAACCAAAGGTGTCCAAGTGCTGTAAAACAACAATCCAACCCAAAAATAGTTCCTAATTACTGCATATATAGCTTTGTTCCTAATTATTACTTTAACACTCAACAACAGTTCTCCTTGTGATTTAGTATATATTTTATCAATTTATTTTTCAATAAGCAAAAGTACTTGGAATAAGTATACCCATATTCTTCTGTAGTTATTTTTAACAATATTTGGATTTGGGTAGAAATGTTACGTTTCACCTTTAGAAAATGGTGACTTTGCTGTCATCATGAATAATCTCACCCTTCCATTATTAAAAGAAAGCTACCTCTATTTTAATCTTTATTAAGTGCATATGTAATTTTCCAAGAAATTGCAATGAACTGCCTGCTGGGACATGACCCTTTGAAAAATATCCAGTACTTCAAGCTTCATATTCTCTCTATAAATAAAGCATCATAACGAATATATAAAATTCCAAACTAAGACCAAAAGGAATCATATCTTTTGACCAAACAAACCTTTTATTGGCAAAAGTTCCCGAAACCTGTTAATGACACTACTACAAAAGGTACAGGGCGCTCAATTAGTGGTGTTTTAGGTTAGTAGCCACTAAATGACACCAAACCCATTGATTTTGGCATTCACCCAATTGGACATTTTTGAGTCTAGCCGTTTATTTGAGGTGGGCCGCAATAACCCTTTGTTTGGTGACGTTTTGGGCTTCAATGCCTCGACCCAACCCTTATTATTTTCCCTTTTATTTTTTTTTTGTAATTTTTATGGTCAGATTTCAAATAAAAGACTCAATTAATATAGGGAAAGAAAAAAATCTTCGCAAATCCAAGGTGTCCAGGCCTACGAACTCCATGGATTTGACTTAAGATTCCTGCGGCAAGCTTATTTTCTGGGAAACGCCATCTTGTCCAGTAGGTAAACCTAGAGGTTGCAGAATATTCACAAAAAAAAAATCAAAGATTGCTGAACATGGCGTCACTTCCCCATACGGCGCCGCAGATTGGACATGGCTGTATCAGAAAATCAATTCTCCCCTCATGTCTAATCCTTTCAGCAGAACCTTTCTTTACTATTTTTCTTCTTCTTTCTTCATTGAATCCGTCTGCTTCCCTTTCAATTGTTGCATTAATATTAGCAACCAACCGATCTAAATGCTCAAATCCTTCATTATTTCTTAAATTAACCAACCCTCTTACCTGCCCTCTTAATTTCTTTTCCCTTTTGAACCCCTTTCTCCCCTTTGGCAGTGCCGATTTAGTGATTTTTAAGTTGGAAAGGCAGATTCGGTCTCAGGTGATGAATGTCGACTCTCTTTTCCTTTCTCTAAATCGTTTTTTGCTTGTGCTTTTTTCCAGTAGATTAAATCTAAGTGAATGAATTTTATCTGAGTATATGCCTTTTTTCGACAGTTTCCTTGGTACTTCTGTTGTTAAGCTCCACTTTCGTTTTCCCCTCTTTTATCTTTGTTCGAACAAATTATGCTTGCGTTTTTGCTGGTGATTGGTTCGGCTATCAAGCCCTTATTGATTCGGCTTTTCCATTGCTCAATCTTAGGTAATTATGCTTCTTCTCTTATTCCATCTCTGTTTCTCTTGTGTTTGTTTCTGGAAAAAAGTGCTAATTTAAGATTAATATTTTATAGTATTCTTATGACACTTTAATTATTTCGTTAATGTTCTTTATTGTTCTTCTTTATGGTTGTTTTTATTTCCCTTTTTCAATGGAGGTGGTGTATCAGTTTTACCTTCATAGCCTTTGCATCGCTTATTTATTGTATACTTCATTTTGTTTTAGTGATACATGATAGGAGTACTAATATTAAGTGCTAAAAATTCTGTAAATGGGTCCAAGCAGAAAC